TGACTCCGGTCCAGAGCTTCGCGGGAGCCTGGAGACCGGGGAGTCTTCTGGAGCAGAGAGGCTTGGGCGCCCAGACTCCTCCAACTTCACGTTCGCCCGTAGCCCGAGTTATTTTATCCAGCGCTCTCAGAGAATGGTTGAAAGCAGAAGCATGTCTTTAAGGGACAAAACGGCGCGGCTGCAGCGGGGGCCCGGTGGAAGCGGTCCCCTGGGTGGGGGTCCTAGAAAGTGTGCAGAGAAGCAAGTTTTGCTTACCCAAGGATCGAGTTTCTGGAGTACTTTACTTTATTGACGTCCTCACTCAGAGATCTGACCTTTTCCCCTAAGAATTATTTCGGATGCTCAGTGGTCTGGGGCGTTTGTTCGGTCTCAGGCGTCGGGACGACTGGAGTCAGAGTTTTGAGTGAGAGAAGGCTAGAGTCGTGAATTATTGACAGAGGTGTTAATGCCTGGGGCCTTAAGCATCCTTCCGGGACAGAGATGCTCAGTAGCTCTCAGGTCTGATAATTGTTCTGTTCACAAGCGGAGCCCAGCTTGGTGTGAAGGCGCTTTGGATACTTAATGCATCATGAGCGCTAGATTGCATCTCCGATGATTAGACTGAAGTGTTTGTGAGGGTGAATTAGGGAAGCGGGTGTCTCTCTTCAGATGTGTCATCTGTGGGAAGAGGAGTAAGTTCCTGGCAGGAATGATTAGGCTTTTTTCTTATACCTATTTAAAACCGATTACTTGTAAATGTATATGATTTCCCTTTGTTAGTCCGTACGGCGTTGGCATTACTTCATGCTCCTTTCCTGAACACCCTCCCGCCCTCCCCAACTAGATGCAAATAGGTCTCCAGGTTTTCTCCAGGGACCTCCTTTCTCTAGCTACATCATGGCTTTGGGTACTAGTGCTTTTCTAAGTATATCTTCTGGACTGATGCTGTCTGCAAATCGTTCCTTATTGGTCTGTAATGAGAGATAAGTATAGAAATTGAGAGTAAGATTTAGAAACGTCTATAGCAATTTGACATTGTCTTGGCATCCCAGCTCATTTGTCAGTTGTACTTTGTGTTTTATTTTATTTGTAAAGTGTTTCGTTTTCGTTGAATTTTTACAAAGGTATCGGTCCATGATGCATTAAAAATGAAAGTCTTTCACCAAAAATGGCTTGAGCAGCACTGAATTCTACATAACTCCTAGATTTACATCGTCTGTCTTGATCTCTCAACTTTTATGGCCTCAATACTTTTGAAGAATAATTATAATAGTTAATATTTAGTGAACAATTACTGTGTGCTTGCTAGGTACTGGTATAAATGTTTTGCTTATGTTTCTTATTTTTTCTACGAGATACATTCTATCGTTATGTTTAATGGACATCTCGGAAGCAAAACCACAGATATCCACCCCCTCCAACACGTTCTTCTTCAAATTGTTCCATCCCAGTTAAAAATTTAGAAGTCATCCTCGTTTTGTCTCTTTTTAAAAAAAAATAATTTATTTTCCAATTACAGTTGACATACAATATTATATTAGTTCCAGGTGTACAACATAGCGATTCTTAAGTTTGTCTCTTTCTTTTGCCCCCACATCCAATAACTTAGCAAGTCTTGTTGTCACTACCTCCAAAATATATCCACAATTCATCCTCCTCTCTCTCGCCATTGATATTACCTTGGTCCAAGCCTCTATCGTATCTCACCTGAACTACAAGCGTCCAGCTGGCTTCTCCTCCACAGTCCCCCGACAACACATTCTCCGAACAACAGCGGAATGACTTTTAAAAACATAACCAGATCATGTCCTGCTTCTGCTTAAAACTCTCCGGTGAGTTTTCATTGCACTTTAAATACAACCCTAATCCTTACCACAGCCTAGAAGGTTCTATGAAATCTTGTCCCAGCCTAGTTCTTAATACCATGCTCCTTTAGACCATAGCTATGTGTGCGGTAGCCATATCGGCCTATTTCTTTAACATTCTTACATAAGTCTAGCTTACACTTGCTGTTCTTTCTGTCTGGAATCCTCTGTGCCCAGTTCTTTTCATAGTAGGCTTCTTAATCTGCTGAGATATCACATACTCAGGCTTTATCTAACGACCTAAGCTGCACTGCCCCAGAGTTCTCTGTTGGATCCTCTTTATTTCCTTCCAGACACTTTTCACTCTCTGAAGCAGCTAACTTTTGTTTACTTGTTTATTATCTTCTCTAGAACAGTGTGTCTCAAGAGCTTTGCCTGCACTTTTCATTGTTTTATTTCTAGTGCCTAAAACAAGATTTGGCATCTGCACATAGTACATACTCAGTAAGAGTTTAGGGAATGAATACATGATTGAATGATTAACTAACACACTTCGAAAAAATATTCTTTATTTTTTCTGACGCTTCATCTTGGATCCTCATTGCTGCCTGTAAGAATCTGTTATTTCTCAGAAGTGCACAGATAGGATGTATTGTTTCCTCTGCCCAGCTGTCAAGGAGGGCTCCAGGCACTGGCACACATTTACACTGCATGCTGGAGCAGTGTTCCTGGAACCAACTTTAAAGCAAGCATACTTGATAAAGAGATCCATACTTTCATGAACTTCTCTAAATTATTGTAAAAGCTGTTTGGGCAAATGTTTGCACCTATTGGCTATTCTGCCAATAATTTACTTGCCAAAGTCAAATGTAACCTCTTGGTGACTTCCTTTCGTGGTTGTAGTTTGTCGTGTAATCCTTTATGTGTTAGAATCTTCAGTGATAGCAGTTCCAGGAACTGGACATATTGCCTGTGACCTGAGTGTTGAACAGTTGGGTAGCCCGGCCACAGCTTTAATGACCTTCACCTCATGGAGTTTGATCGCTTGCAGTCCATGTGTCTATCTGGGTCTTAGAAAATATCTGCAACATCAATGACATCAAATAATGACTGGGTCAAAATTCAGTTTAATAAACTTCATTAATGTCTGCTATATGCCTGCTGTTATGTCTTCAAGTTTTTTGCAAAAAATGTAAATGTTATATAAAATTGTATGTGACTCTGAAATGGATTTATTTCATTTTCGTCATGGGAATGCCTTCCTTTTGTACAGAATTTCAGAGCTCAGTGGGCTTTTCGTCCTTGAACAGCTGTGTGGTAACTATGAAAAGCAGCATTGATCATGATGATCATTTCCATGCTGTTTTGAATGTGTTTTCAAGTGGAGAGAATCCGGGTATAGCAGCAGATTTTGGTATAATGACTTCATAGTAAGGCACACAGGAGATTTGCAGCAAGATACTTGCAGACAAGATATTGAGAAAGAATAAAACATCAAAATATTTACAGTACATTTACTCATAATTTAGGGTATTTGTCATCATTAGGAGACCTGGAATCAACCTCAGTGAGTTTAGTAGCCTTGAAAGTTTATGTGAGGAAGTAATTATGTAGCATATTTACATTTCATTCTCTCTTTTCTCATGCTCATTTTGTTAAAAAGCAACTGTTTTCCCTTCAAAAAGCAGAGGGAAAAGGAAAAAATTTGCCTGAATCTGGAAACCCCTGACTGCTCCATCCAGGCAAACATCTCCAGAGTAAAGGTGGAAAGATAGTTAAAATATGACTGCTTAAACATCCTTTTTCTTTACTGTTAGTAAACAGAGTTTATCATGTTTCTTCAACTGGTTTTAATCAAACCTTAGAAACACGCTCTTCTCAGGGAACTTATTTAAGTGGAAAATACTTGTGTTTCTTCATCAATATTTGAAAGAGATGAGAAAGGAAAGAAAGAAAAGGTAGTTTGCCTCCCAAATATATAAATAAGGTGTAATTAGACTTTCATATTTTATACTTTATTTTTAATATTAGTTATTAATGTTCTTTTAATTGTTTAACTTACCCACATTGAACCTAAAAGGCTCAATATTATTCTTTTAGAATAACGTTAATCCATTTATAGTTCAACGTATTTGGATGAGTCCATAGAAGTAGTTATAAATGCCTTCCTGTGATTTTTATCAGTTATGCCCGATTTTGTATCTCATATATTCCTGTAATGGCTCAACAGTATAGAATTGGTATTGAGTCAGTCTAAGTACCTCATAAAAGTGCTCATTAGGTGAAAACTGCACATTCACATTCTGTACGACAACCCTCTGCTCCTCAGTGGGCAAATAGCAGAAGGTTTATCTTACCTAGAAAATGTGATGATGTTCAGTTATTATATTCAGATTCTTTGTGATGGAGACAATTTCCAGAATGTAAGGGTTCATGTCACGTTATCTTGAGATTTTTGAGAGTTCCTGAATGATAGTAGCTGGATTGTGGAACAGGCTTCTGCTTTTCCAAGGTTTGATGGCAAGAAAGGAGGAGAGAGGCAGTGGTTTGATTTCACAGTGATTTCTCACATATTTACTATATTTCGGTTCTTGGAAGAGCAGGTTCAGAGATGCATTACATTAACACATCTCTTTGTCTATCTGTGTGAAGACGGATAGCTTGCTAAAGATGTCTAGCATCTAGGTCACGAATTCTTGAGTTCCATATTGAAATATTCTTAAGTTGCAAATCAAAAGATCTATATTCATATTGGAAAAGTTTTGTTAAAAGTTTTCTAGTGTCTTGATTTTCCATGAACCAGTTTCACATCGTGGATATGTTAAAGAACTTTATGAAAGTTCTTTATAGACTCATGTGTCTTCACATTTGAATTCGAGTAGAATTTACCTAATATTGTATGAGAGACTATTTAAGTTTCATCTATTTAGTCATTCACTCACTCCCTTAAAAATAAACTCTTAGAAAGTGTCTATCAGTGGCATTGTGGAGAATAGAAATATAGTGGAAAATATTGTTCCTATCTTTGAGAATTTATAAACCAAGCGAGATAGGCTTTACATACATGAGGTAACCTGAAGAAATCAATAAGAACACTTGAGCTAATGTAGTATCATCTTTTCTTTCTAGGAGGTAGGCCAGAGAATGATAAAAGAAGAAATTGTGTGTTTTGTAATCGGGACTCTCAACTACGCTGCATAAAAATTACAAATGATCAAAGTGGCCAATTGAAGTACACACTGAGAACTTTCTTTGTATTATGTGGAGCTAGCTTTGAATGGCTTTGCAGATTTGTAATAGGAATTCAAGGAAGGAGAGATTTAGAATATAACATTCAAATGAGAAGTTATTGTTATACTTTTAGTTGACAGCTCCATAGAAGATATTAATCACCTTCAATATGCAAGGTGTGTGCAGGGCTCTGTGACAGTTGCATAGATGAATCAGAACCTAAGGAATAAAGTGATGAGTAGCATAGAGGCTAGAGAGATCTTACTTATCTCAGTGTTTGTAGATGACAGTAGCCCTTTGAGTCATCAGCAAAGAATGGAGATCATTTGTATATGCTGAGATGTTTGGGGTGGAAATCGCACTGTGGTATCATGATTCTGAGCTGATGTTGTGAGAATTACAGGATATGTATAGGAAAATTTGATTAGTATGGCTTCGTTATATAAACTGATTAAGTTTTAAATGCAGAGTGAGGCTACATTGTGGTTGGTGGTGGGTGCAGTTAAAACCTCTGGCATGGCTAACTTATTTCATCTCCGTAACAACTCTAATCACCTGCTACTAGTATGCTGAATAGGATTCGGAGGGCAAATCTGAGATTA